ATTCTTTCTACTTTTGAATGTTCTTTCAAAAGGCGAGTGAGCGACTCAATAAGTTTTCCCAATACCGCGGTGCTCGCCCCAGTCGTTCTGAAAAATGCATTTCCTCTGGAAACAAACAAGCCCAGGACAACCTTCCAGAGCCAGATTTGGGTCCGAGATTTTCCGAAGTTTGCTATCAATGCTCATTTCAGAGACAAATTCCCTGCATGGCAGAACTCGATTCGCCACAATTTGAGCCTGAACGACTGCTTTGTGAAAATTCCTCGTGAGCCTGGCAATCCTGGAAAAGGCAACTACTGGTCGTTGGATCCAAAAGCCCAAGATATGTTCGACAATGGCTCCTTCCTGCGACGGCGAAAAAGGTTTGAACTTTTGGTTTTCTCCTGTAGGCTTTGCGTGTTGCTACGGTAGACCGGGCAGCCGCACATACAGCCATAGGCTGCGAGCGCATTATTCGATTGTGTTGCCTCTTTATCGATGACAATAATCCGGTCTTGAATTCACTTTTTCGCCAACAACACACAACGAATAATACGCTTCACACAAACGTGGTGATGTTGACTAAACAGGTGTTTTTCGCTCAACGAGACCCCCCACTCAGCACAAACACCATTCATTTAAGGTTCAAGCGACAACCTGAGCCGCAGGACATGTCGCCGATCGGTTTTCCACCATTTCTGTCCTCGATCGGACCAATGGTGCCTTCACGATTGCCGCTCCCGATGCCGTCGATCCTTCCACCTCTTCCACCAACTGCACCACAGCTGCCGTCATCACTGCCCCGTCATCCGATGGCCATGGTGCCAACGATGATGCCCAACGTGCCACCTAGGTTACCGTATTTCTACCCCGGAATTTCATCGAATATCGACCATCAAAAGCTGTTGGCGGCCCTAGCGGCGCAGTCCCCTCTGACGTCCACAGCGTCCGAATGTGTACACACCTTGCACAAAGTTGATTGACCCTCGCTCTGTCGCAGTTCACCATTTCACTCTGGGATTTCTGTCTTATTAGTGCAATAGTGAAGAGAATTTCCCATGTTCACCATGATGACGAGTATTTTCACTGATCTGATTTCCATTTTTCGAGCTTATCACTCAGATTTCTTCCCGAAGACCAAAAATTGAGTGCGTTTCCTCATGCTTTCCATCACTGTACTGCTATTGTCGTTGAGTTTTTATTTATTCATGTTTACAAAATTTGTGGCTTGACCGGTTTCATTCCTGTTCATTTTGTTGTGTAGAGCAAACTTCATTTATTGAATGAACTAATTCACAGAAATAACCGCGTTGTATGCACTTTTCGGCGACATCAAACGGGTCAACACTAGCGATCAGTCAACAAACCTTGAAAGGGGCTTCCACCGATGCGACCGATTATCACAAAGGTGGTGGTGATAAGGGGATTAACCAGCTACTACTGTGAGAAAAAGCGGCCGCTATGTCTCGTCTCATCGACGTGCTTTTGCGGATTGATTGTTCCCTGACCCTTTGCGAAATCTTGGAATCTCCCTCAAGTACTATTGTGTACCGTGTTGGGTGCTGTCCATGGCCGTGTTGTGCAAGTAGTATCAGTCTCATAATCGGGTGCCCATTCACGCAACAGCACTTGGATGACGCAACCGCCACTCTGTAATAGACCTGAGCCGCTAACACTTCACTGTCATTCTGTTGTCCAGACAAGATCTTCTACTGCTGATAGCTATGCCGCCTACACGAGGAGCTCCTCAATGCAGTGCTACCTCCCCTCGAAGAGATCGGCCTGTTCTGTTTTCACAGTGTTGATCGATAGAGATTGATCGAATGAACCAAACGTTACAGTATCCGCTCGTTCATCGCCATGAATGTTACAACCAAATCATTTGATTATCAACTTTACTACAAACCCACAACTTCCATCGCTGGGCTTTGGAACTCCAGAAATACAATGACTGAACCTTCAGTGGTGTACGCTGCACGGGGAGCTCGACAGGATCGGTTCTATCGTTGATACTTTTTGCAAAATTTTTACGACCCCCTTCCACATACATACGACCCTCTCTTCACAGCCGCTTTCCCTCAAAAAACACAGTCCAGCGTGGGGGGAGGGGCTAACAACTCCCATTGAAGCAGCAAAATTTCCCTATATTTTCCTTCATTTTCACCCAATTTCCCTCTTTTCCACTTATATTTCCAGGCAAATTTTCTTCCGCGCGCTCTCACCTCATCACATGTGATTTCGCGCTACCGCAATAATTACTACCCCCCCCCCCACCACAACAAACTTCAGCAAACTACGACTAGTCTTCAACAGCTAGTCCAGCTCAGGGTCAACCCCTGTTGCTACTTGTAGCAACGTAGGGTTGACCCTGAGCTCGACTATGATCGCGGATTGGCGAAAGCTGCATTGGTAGTGATCAGGCCGCTGTGCGCTAGCTCTACCGATATCTGCCAGCTTTGCCAGGCCTGCCAACACGGGGAGTGGATATCAGTGGGAAGCCTTTCCTGAGCCTATCAGGTGAACTTTATGAACCGCTCCATTCTTGGAACTTGTAGCTTTTTTGATACATACCAGAGTTCAAACGATACTTGAACCTTCTGACATGGTTGCTCGCAAAGCCTAAAGAGAACTTTTGATGATCGATAGGCTACAAAAACCAGTTAGTAACTAATTAGCCAGTCGAATATCTGAACGAGTATCGATTTTTTCTTCTTTCCCATCTGATCCCTAAGCCACAAGCTGTAGCTTGGTGGGTTAACTCGAGCTAATTGTTTCCATGCTGATGGGCTACTGGGCCTTCGAGGACTTCTGGTGAGTCTTCTGGATAGGCTCCCTTGAATTTTTTTTTGAGAGTGAATAGGAAGGTTGAATTTTTATGAGAATGGGTAGGAAGTTTCATTGAAAAATCGATTCCAGTTCCACCCAAAAAAAACTTAAACCCTTCAGTGCAATGATTACTGCCCCTCATTTCACCATGATTTTCACTTCTCCTTTTTCGCTGTCAGCGTGAAGAACCAAAAAAAGTGGACAGGGTTCTGGACTACGACACCGCTTCAAATGTTTCACGCCCAAAAGCGCTATTTTAGGCTCCCTTCCTGCCCTCCCAATTTGATACAGTACTATTACTTTCATTACATTACTAAACAAATCATGAACATACGTCGACGCAAACATTTAGACAACCGTCGTATCGGCCGAGCGCATCATAATTTGATTAAATCGTGATTATATCAGCTGTTCAGTGGAGCGTAAAGAAACGCGCAAAAGATACCCCGAAAAGGAGAAACGCACGGTTCTATCGTATAGATGCATCGTATATTGATACACATGGAATATTTGATGGGGTAAGGAATCCCAGATACCCCAAATTTGTGACTGGACAGGTCGATTAAGCAGCGAGACTTGAACCAGTAATGAGAGCCGTCGCCTGTTCACTTCACGCCAGCTGTGAGGCGATCCGCTGCAGGTGGCTACATGTGTTTTCGTGCCGGGTTTTCGCGTTCGTAGTTCTGTTCAGTTACAATTTAATGGCGGCAACTTTCACTCATTTTAATCCACATACGAATTTCATCTTCAGGGAGGTTTTTTCACATGCGAACATTCGCTATGATTTTTTTCGAAATGAATCAAATGATGTAGGCGGCCGCCACACAGAATTTGCTACAAGGTGCCTAACTCTGGAATGCTCTATAACCATATCAAATTCAAAATCCAAGAATATTCACTATGCTCCATTTTCCTTGGAGTCTGTGGTGAAACTCCAACTTGGGGGGGGGGCTTTCCCGTGTCTCTATTCGTATGCCTAAGAGCACTCCGGCACTCCTTGTGGAATTGGAACCCATGATAAGATAATGGGTAAATGGACTTACTCCAAGTGCACTTTAATAAGGACCCGTGTATGCCATACTTCACGCACATCCTAGGCAATTTATGACATTTGATCGAACACTCTGGGCTTCTACACCTTGCGCCTAGGAAAGGATGTTTATACCCTAGTTCAGGACCATTTCCTTGGACCATAAAAGGCCAAAATTTGAAAGCGCACCCAGGCGTACTTCCACATTTTACCATTCCTTAACAAAAGTAATTTCAAATAAATCGATTACGCAGTGCCCAGTAAAACATCTGATACTTATCCATAATGTTCTACAGCACAGTGGAGTTCCCCCTCCCCCAAACTGGAGTTTCACCTTAGTTGTTAACTGCTCTTTTAAGACCACAGTTCGTGTAAGAATGATTCACACGAATGCTGGGTTATGAATGAACTTGCGCCCCAGGCGGGTCTCAAATAGGTGCAAGTTCGTGTCCCCCTGA